GTATCTTCCACCAAGCTTAACAGTTTTGCTAGACAAACGTGATGGATTGATGAATGAGACGTGTGCGCTATATTCGCGTATTCGTATTTGGTCTCGCTCTAACTTTTTGGCCTGCCTACATCCTTTCGTATTTCTCAACTTCTACACCAACTGGACCTGTTTATACTCTTTCAGAGCTGTTTGAAGAAGCGCTTTAAAAATCCGGACGATGGTTTCGATCATATTAACGGCAGTTTGGCATCCCGTCGTCGGTTAACCAGGACACGGGAATCACCAGCATTCAGTGGAGCTAGTCGTTTTACTATTCGTAAAATCTTTAAATTTAGTTTTGAACCATGCAGAAGTTGAACGTCCCTCCAGTGCGGTGTAGGCTGTCTGGCAGGTACAGAACTCCTTGGCATCATCACCATTTTAAGCGTAGAGATCAGTGCCAGAATGACGAATATCTCTGCTTGGAAAATCGTGGTCAGTATGCTCACGTGAAAGTTATCTAGTTCATTCTTCCTTAGAATGTAAATACCAGCTGACCAGGTTTTTGAATAAAAACCACCAACATAAAAGCCTCTACTCTAAATAAGATAAAATTATAAATAGACATGATTTGTGATAGAATGTCAGATATATGAAGAAGGGAGCAGCGGCTATATTGGTACATATACTACGAAAATTTCCAATTTCAGATCTTAATCGTGTTACTGCAGATTTATTGTGACAATGTTAAAAGAAAATTATATAGAGGAGATAGTGCAACATAACAAAAGAAAATAACTAGAACTATCGTACACATTATCTACTTACCTACTAGCTACTAAATCTCCTGGAAGTCCGAATCTTGCGTAGTCACCGCCGTATATATCCCTAACGAGTTTGTCTACGTTTCGATTGTCACCTTCAGCAGCTAAACCTATTGCTTCTTCGAATGTATTACAGCCAGTTAAAAGACAACAAAGTCCTAAGAATGTACCTCCTCCTATACTGTGAGTTAAGAATATAATAGTAGTAATTAGAAAAATGTATGAAATCCATACAAACGTTGTATATATACAGTGCCGAAATTGAGTGATTACGTTTACCAGCTCTTGGTCTACAATCTGTGATAGGATTTATATAGTATTTTATTTATGGAAAACAGACGGAAACAGACAAATAAAAACACTAAAGACTACAACGAAATGAATAAAGAAATCAAAAGGTAAAGAGGAGGAAAAAAAAAGAAGAATGCTACAGCAGCAAATGTCTGAAAATAAAAGAACTGCAGAAAAAGAATGACACATTTAATATGTACAAAAGGTGCAAGAACTAACTGGACTACATAGGTCAACTGCAAATAGTCTATTTGACAAACAGGGAAATATACTGAATGAACAAGACAAAGTAGAGAGGTGCTGTTTGACGAAGAGACAACATAAATGAAAAGAGCTATAAAACTTGTAAAGAATAGGAAAGCCATCGTATCAGATGAAATTCCCGAAATAATTAAACTACTCGACGATAAAGGTAAATATTCTCTTCTAAACCTCTCCATTAAAAAATACATACCAACAGACTGGCTGCTGTCAATATTTGTAATGATATCGAAAAAAAAAAAACGCTAAACAATGTAGCGATGATCACACCATCAGTCTGACGATGTATTGAAAATGTTCTTAAACATACTGTACTCCAGAATTTACAACAAAATAGAAGACAAAACTAAACGAAACACACTGTAGTTTCAGAAATAACTTTGGAACCAGAGACGCCTTATCCAGTTTGCAGGTCATGGTTAAAAGATGTAGAAATATAGACCAACCGCTATATATGTGTTTCATCGACTTCAAAAAGGCCTTTGACCGGGTCATCCACAACAAACTGATAGGTGTCATGAAACAGGTGAGAGTGGATGACCAAGATCTCCGTATTCAATCTCATCAGATTTGCAGACGACACAGTACTGATTGCAAAAATTGATTAAAAAGAGTTGCAACGACTTATAAACAGGTGATGAAAAATGGATTAAACTTAATACTTCAAAGACAAAACTTATGGTTGTCAGCGAAACGGAGCTACAACCAATCATTATCAGAGCATATCGAATGAAGTTAGAAAGAGTCAAAAATATCATCTATTTGGGAGCTAACGTTAGCGATAATTGGGATAGCAGCAGAGAAATAAGGATAGGCATTAAAAAAACCCGAGCCGCTTTCTATAAATTAAAGATACTAATGAAAAAATTCGAGGCCTTTTGAGATGTACCTATACCGAGGAAAATTATGAATACATTGTGTGGACGCAAACAAAGTTATTATTGCCAATATTACCGTCAACGTTCGATAATCGTACAGTGGACAGATTTGAAGTAGTTATAAGGATCAAATCGTTTTGTAATGTCTCTTTGTCCGCTTTTTCTCGATCGACGATGATAAATACAATAAAACGTTGAAGTTGTAGAGTAAAATAACAGTTTTATTGACAGCTACTAATAATTACACTATAGATGTTGGTTAGGTAGCTTTCTACAATAGACTGCGCTCAAATGAGCTCAAATCCTCAATTTATAATTTCACAAATAATGTATACCCAGCACAGAGGTTTAATGCTTCTATTATACTAACAAACTCTGAACTACGAGCTTACAATACAATTTAATCTAGGCCGTAATTGCAACACTTAGGAAGTTTAATTGGAAAATATATTATTCGGCAATTTATTAAGTTACAGGTAAATGGACTAATTATTAAAATATTACACAATATGTTTTCACAATGTTTCAATTATACACGGTGAACTATAAAAGTTTAAAAAGTTAAGAATAATGTGAGATTACAAATTAAGGGATTAATTTGTGATTAAACAGACAGGGTACTGAAAGAAGAAGAAATATATAAAGAGATGAACGCTACTACTTTACATGTAGGCAGCTAAAGACAAGTTATATCATTTAGTTTTTGGGATTTCTCAAATTTAGTTTCCAAATCAATAAAATATAAAAATAATGATACCTACCTAGTACCTGAGATACGTTTATAGTTGGTTTCCGAATATACTGCTAAAACGCTAACTCCAGAACCTATATTTACAATGAGGAAGGGATAAGGCCTTGAAAAATCGTAATTCACTTTACTACACCTTTCTTCATCTGTGGAGTTCGCCCAGTAATAACACTCTGAGGGATTGTTCCTATCTATGTAATGTAACCCTGCTAATAGTGAGTCAAATTCGTCGAATTTGGCAAGTTTTAAATTCACTTCCTACAAAAATAAAAATAAATAATTATTAAATCGTTAATAACAAAAAGTTGTAAAAAGAAAAAAAATCGGTAATTGTAAATTAAATAGAAAACCCTATAGTCCTCAGCGAATACATTCGGAAATTGCACGGAAAATTAAGGACATGAGAAATGATTTAGCTAAAGTTTGTCCAAACCTCGAAGAATCCATAGACTTTCTCATTCATATCATGATATAATATCAGCAGATTTACAAACTGCAAGCAAAATGTGGGATCTTTTTTTAACTTTTGCGAGTATTTGTTAACCAATATTACCGACCATATTGACGATCCTGCATAAATAATATTTAATAATAAGAGGAAGCTGGATTTATAGATCTTTTAGCCTGCTACTATACGTTTAACCAACAGCCATGCCCATGGCTGTTGGATAAAATTAGATCCTCGGCAGTTGGATGCGACTTTCCAGTTTTAGAAACTCGGCATACGAGTTGCTAAAAATTTTGCTCGACTGTACGTATATAAATCCTCTTATTAAAAATATATTTCGATCGATGAGGTCATACTAGATATGTTCAATACGTTTTAACTATTCAATACGACTTAATGGGGGGACCTTTTGGTCACATACTTAGGTAGGTAATACAAAAATAAGTACAAAAAATATTGGTACCATGAGCAGGGAAAATTTTTTATTTTCGGAAAAATTTTTCCCCATTTTCGACAATTTGACATTCATATCTTTCAGTTGGAACAGAGGTGAGAAATCTAATCTAAATCTAAAACCTCCACGCTTTGAGTACCGATAAGAATTGACGGCATAGTTTCTAAGTTATTATTACATATTGTAATATTGATTTATATGTGACTCATGTTGGGTCAAATGACTCCTTAAAAATGTCTCATGGGTTTGTAATCTAATGTTAGCGTGTGTTTTACGTTTATTTGTTGCGAAATTGATTGTTTGGCTTATTTTAAACGCATTTTTTTCTATCTGGGAAGCCACAACTTGCATTTTATTTTTTGTTTTTGCCCGAGGACGTGCTTACCAGCGTTTCACCAGGTGCGAACCGTGCCAATGGTAAGCGATTTACGAATTTTAGGATCTCTATCCAATTATCACAAGGACACAGTTCTCGGTCTTGATCATGAACAGTAAATAATTTGAAAGATAATGTCTGAAACATATTCGCTGTACGCTGTTTATTTAATATTACTCAAAATGTTCACAGTTGCCAATCCATTAGTTGTCTCTAAAAGTGAACGATTCCAATTTTTGCGTCTATCGAAAGTTAAGGTGGCTCCCCATGGAAGCCACAGAACCCGCTTTTTACTTAGTAAGGGGCTGCGTACGCAAAGATTAGAAAAAAATTGTAGATTTTTAAAGTGACCTTTTATCCTCATAGACGAATAAAGTAGATCATTTTTTTTTCGTAGCGGGCAGAAAATTGTAATAACTTTTTGCCTGCCTCTGGCATGGAATATGTTCTACATTTTACCCAATTTTACCTCGACATATGTTTAAGGAACTATTAACTGATAAATATAGAAAGAAAAGTTTAACTCTTTACAAAAGAAAATGTAAAGTTTTCTCAAATATTTTTTACATACTATGATTTGATATGTTTTCTATTATACAAACAAACTTACCCGCCTGAAATCTTCTTCAAATTTGTACGCCCCTCCACCGGTGGCCGATACTGTGGTTACTAGTTTCGCCATACCTTTGTATTTCGCCAAACTAAGAAAATTTTTCATCCCACTCGTTGGGAACCTAATAAAATGTAATGTACCTAATATTCCTCTTATTTTTACGTTTTCCATCTAAAATAAAAAAAAATATTTAGCCTACGTTTCACTTTAATATAAATATAGGATTGCATAATATATAATATAAGATCTCCCAAGTAAAAAGTAAATAAATGATTAAAAAACTGACTATTTAAGGAAAAAAGTGCCAAAATAAAATATTTGATAATGTCATTATTATCACTTCCATATGAAATTAGTTGGCATTAGGTGACAAATTAGGTGACATTCCTACAGTTGGCAATTAACACTCATGCAGTTGGCATTTAACATTTCTAAAACTCCTTCGAGAACGGACTTATGGCTTATGTTCCCTGTAGGTTATCTAAGTCCATCGGCATACTGCCAAATAATTAAATAATTTCAAGTATGGTTTAATCCATTTAAACCCAACAACTGTTTGGTTTTGAGGTTTTTTTGTAAGTAATTTAATAAACTGATGATAAAGTTCTGCACGAATAACGAACTTAGAATAAACAAAACATTTTTTGATCACAAAGACCTACACAAATATACATTTAATAACACCCGTGGACAAAGATCTATGATAGATTATGTTATAATCAACAGAGATATACATCCAGCGAAAATAATTGACGTAAGATACCTCAACTCAGCAGATATAGGTAGCGACCATAATCTAGTATGTAAAATAAGAATCATCCTGAAATACTTCACACCCAATAGAGCGGCGTCAACACAAACAAAAATCAAAGTCGAACGACTAAATACGGAATCCACGAAATACTTATACAGAAAAAGAACATTGGAGAAGATTGCTGGGAATGAAATATTAGAAAACGATAACACAGTATCACTTGGGAGAGGAAAGTAACGAACAATAACATATAAAAAATGAGAGGTAGTCAAGACAAAATGTGAAGATAAAAAGAAAGCCTTTTTACAATGCAGACCACAACAAACACAACAGACATATAACCACTATACACGAATCAGAAATGAATCGAATACTTTAGTTAGACATATAAAAAGGGAACACTGGCAGAGCTTCTCAAAACAGATGGAACACGACTTTTACGGAACACAAAAATAAGTATGGAGAATGGTCAGAGGACAAAGAAATGAGTTTAAACGAACTAATAAAAACGAAACACATTCAGAAAGAAACATGGGTAGACTACTTTCGATCCATATTTGCTAAATGTGACAATGAACCACGAACTAATAAAGTACTATGGACCAGATCTGACCAAACAACTATTAAAACTAATCCAAAAAATAATAAAACAAAACAGAATTCTCCAAGAAAGAAGATCAAGCATCCTAATACCTCTCTTCAAAAAGGGAGACAAATAGGACTCGGAAAATTGAAGAGGAATTAATTTAATAAACAGTCAGGTCTTGTGACTCTGTATCAAGTCGGCAGAAACACGACCTGACACAGAGAGGACAAAAAGGATGTTAGAAGCGGCAGAGATGAAAAATTTATGGTAAAACATTACAGGACAGAGCTAAAAGTACAGATATACGACGTAGATGCATGGTGGAGAACATTAAGAACAGGGTAAGAAACAGAAGAGTAGAATAGAACGATCATGTAAGCTGAATGACAACAAATAGAGTAGTAAAGACAGCAAGAGACGGTTCCCCAATAGGAAGACCACGAAAACGATGGAACGACTACTTACTGGAGAAGCATTGAAAAACAGACGGACTCATGTCTACATAAGAAGAAGAAGATATTCATTTTTTTTTCACTTCTTTTTCTTTCATTCTCTTAGGCATTTTATACTAACCCTACCACAATCAATTCCATCTTCCCTACCAGTCTCTAATACCGAATTATTTTTCAAAATAATTTCATCATCGAATGTTATTTTTTACTATAAAAGTTGGTGATACAAAATTGTTCCCTATCATGATTATGATAGGAAACAATTCCCTGTTTATAACATTCCCTATAAAAAATTGCAATTTAGGCGACCTACATTTGCACTCTCGCTAGATATTTTTGCTTACATACATAGTCTTGTTATCTATATATGTAAAAGTACCGCTTTATTGTTTATTGCGAATTTTGTTTTTATAATAATGGCGTTTTATAACATCATTATTTATTTACAGGGGATCTACCCACATTTTCCGAGATAACGACCATAAATTTCCAGATATATATGGTTACATTTACTGATTATTCAGTTATTGCAATACAAGTATTTCAGGTAAATCTTAACCGTATATACAATTGGTTAAATAAATACAAATCCCGAATAAAAGGGACCAAGTCTGCTTCACTAGATGTAGGTAAAGGTAGAAGAAGTCTTAAAATATATTACTTGGTCACAGATTAGTTATTTACTTATTACTTATTTACTTGAGTTTAGACAGCATATTCTCTTTTTGTCGCTTATCATATCCCAATCGTCAATTCTTCTTGTCATATATATCTTCTTCAGTGAGGACTCCTTTTCCATTGCTCTTTTTATTTGTCTACTTCACATTTATTAGTCCTCCAATTGGTTCATTTCGTACTTTGTCCATTAGTGTTAACTGTCCATTAACACTAATCACACATGCAGAAGTCTTGCGGAGGATGAATAAGGATATATAAGATTTATAATAAAAGAACGAAAAACACAATATTTTGGTCACATCATAAGAAATCAAAAGTATGAACTGTTCCAACATATAATCTAAGGGAAAGTCAATTGCAAAAGAGGACCAGGAAGAAGACGCAACTCTTGGCTTAAAAACCTACGGCAATGGACGAACATGACCTCCATAGAACTATTCAGGACTGCTAAAAATAAGATTAAATGGGCAAATGTAATGGCCAACGTCCTTAAGCATAAGGCATCGTAAGAAGAAGTTAATTTTCACGAAAACATCATTTCCATTACATTGATTCGGTTTTCGGTTCCTTTATTTGCACCAACGTTTCAGAGCCATAAAGTGAGGTGATTTTCACTATTGTTTTAAAGGTGTTTTCTTTTACTTGTAATATCGTCACTCCATATATTCTTAGATTTCTATCGTCCATTTTTGGATATATATGCATCTCCCAACTTCTTCCATTGATCTGTACTCTGAGTAATATATTTTAAATGTCTCCCATATATTCGAGTGTAACAAGACCTTATCATAGAGCACTTAATAAATAAATCTAGACAAGTGGCATAAAGGTATAAAACATGTTGTTAAGGAAGAACAAAAATGTGGGAATTATGACAGTTTTATACAAAAAACAGTTATTACTTTGAAACCAGTTATTATTAACTTGGGGAAGACGACAGTTCATCAGATTCTTCCTCTTTAGATGAAAATATTTATTTAAACTTTATCACCTAGTGTTTATATCTAAATATAAATATACAATACAAAATATATATGTATTTTGTAAATATGCTTGAAATAAACATATGCTGATAATCTTCAATTGTTTTTTCATGCATTCTTTAAAGATACCGCTAATCAATCATATGGCTCGAAGGTACACCAATGTCTACCAAAAACAATAAATATATAACTGTTTCTATTGTACTATGACCTTTTACACAGTGGGGAAGGCAAATAGAGAAAGCTTGGGTCGAATTGCAATGTAAATGCTTATAGAAACTTGTTAAAATATTTTGTCCACTATGTAAGCATTTTGCATACATAAAATTAGAATTTGGTTTCATTGCATTGAGACTGATACTTGATATGTCTGAGAATTACGGACTTTGAAGTATTACAATAATCCATGAAGAAAAAAGTTAATACGGATGTGGGTAAATAGTTCGATAGATGAAACATCTAGAAAAACAGAATGACAAAAATAAGGTTTCAAAGTAAATTTCTAATTCCCGTAGAATTCCACCTAAAACTATTTTAAAGAATAAGAAAAGTTAAAAAAACGCAATCTACAACAACTATATACATTTAGGAGTCCTAACTAAATTTTCAGACAAACGAAAATTGATTAGTTATGTTAATTTACACAAATTAGATACTTAAATAAAAGAACTACATTAACAATCCACTGGCAATGTTGACACATATTGTCAACACAAAAACAAAATGCTAGTAAACAAAACTATTGCAAAATATCACAACTAAATGTTCGCATTAGTAGTGTATAAAATAAATAGTTACGACATTTAATTAACATAAATTGTTAGTTACTTAAGTGAGTGAATTTACCAAAAAATCTGATAAATTACATAAAATGCAGAGAAACTACGAAACATCTAAAAATTCGTGATGGTCTAAGATTCCACTGCAAGACCACTACATTGATAACGTTATTAATCGAAGTCACATTTTTACATACATTTAATATTAGAATACATTGATAAATAGGTTGCCAGTCAAAAAGTGGCCGAAAAATGTTTAATTAAAATACGCTGCTCATGATGTATATGCATGCTTTTTATATAAAATTAAAGATATATTTTTTACAGCGTATTTTATTTAAAAAATAAATAAACCATATAAAATTTTTGTTCAATAATTAATTACAATAATTGAATTAAACATATCTGCGACCACTTTTTGACTGTCAACCTATTTATCAATGAAAAGCATGAAAAAATGTGAGATTTTATTAACATGTTATGAACATAGTGATCCGGCATTGGGATCTTGTACTATGAATTGGCGATTAAAAAAATATGGCCATGGAAAAAATAGGTTAAATTTCAAATGAATTAGATTTGGCTAAGTTGATAGTATATTCTATAGCTCTAGGAATATCTTAGGAAAAGATGAAAAGATCTCAATTTCAATGAAAGTAAAATTCAAATTTTCACTTTCATATTGAAAAAGAGGAGCAACATCCAATTGGATTGCTAAAGCAGATATGAAGCAATGGGACTCTTTTGGTGGAAGAACCAAGGATTTGGTTAACGGCATAACAATGGAAAACCACCTACGTCACTTGGACACACCATGCCTAAAAATCAGTAAACAGAAAATAATACACCTTGAGATCCGATTGCAACCGGCAATATCGGTTCCGGACCGATTAGTGGTAAATGTGCGAATGGTCTGCACATGCGGGAGACCAGTCAACC